GGGGGGGGGGGGCGCAAGGCGTGGAGGAGGGCAAGGAGGAAGAAGAAAGCGACTCCGATGTAGAGCTCGAAGGGTGAGTGAGGGCCCATTTTTCGGTGGGGAGGGGGGGGGTGCACGGGGTAGCATTTGCTTTGGTTTGAGAGAGGAGGGATGCCTACTTTTGTGGCACCAACAAGTGTCCTGTTTTTGTTGTTTGCTTGACCTTCAAGAATGCCCGACTGCGCTTTAGTGCCTCCGCTCCCCCGCCCCTTGGAAGGCGAGAACACGATTTACAGAAGCAACCCTAGCAACCCTAGCAACCCTCACTCAATATCCGCTTGTGTTGCGCATCCCTCGCTACTTACCATTGTTTCTGTGAGGTAAACCAACGGGGCAGGGAACATCTACGTTTTTGGTGTAGGTCGGCTTGAAGTGTCAAAGATTCTATGCTTCAACTCCCAACCTCCAGCGAGGGTCGTTCCGTGCTCACAAGCTATGTACATACAGTCCAAATACCCAGGTGTATACAAGGCACCAGCGTAAAAGATTATCACTTGCTGAGAGGAAGATCGACCCTTTCGAGACGGGAATCGTAAGAACTTGGAACATAATGATGAGATAAGCAGGATACGGCAAAGAAATGCCGCGACAGTTTGAGGGTATCAAGCTAGCCCATCGCTACGCTCAAAAGCTGAGTCTCATTTAATGCACTCTGGACAGGAGTAAGCAAACTTCAACCTACGATGGTATATTATCGCACCCCATATGTACGAAGCCTGAGTTTTCTCCTTGGTTCACTTTTTGGGGCAACCAGGGCAGCCTCACTCCACGCCCTGGGCATGTGAGAAGGGCATTGCATGTCAAACTGGAAAGAATGTCAATGATATTTACCACGAACGTCACCAAAGACGCTTTTGCACTCCATCCTTTCCTAGACAGATTCGCCGCGGAGGACTCTGTCAGATTTGTCGCCAGCCACCGGAGTACCGTGGGTGACATGACGCAAGATATCACACCCACTGGACCGATCTTCAAGGCTCGATTTCTCCACAGCATAAAGAGCTCAGGGGCCGAAAATGACAGCCATCTCGTCGAGAGCGTTCCGAACACGTGTCGTTACATTTGTGCATCCTCTTTATCGTGGATTACTGTAGTCGAGCTTTGAAAATCGATCCACCTACGTATCGACGGTAGCGTAAGTTTTACTCTTGTTTTTGAGTGCGGGGGGGGGGCGGTCAGGCAACACGGACCGTCCTTGCGATGCTAGGCTTGTGTGTAGGTTATTAATAGCTCTTTGCACCAGTATCCAGAATCACAATATACCGAAATTATGCGTGTTATCGCACCCCCGTGCTAGCGTTTTTGTATAGCGTATTTCTCCACAACGAGGGAGGTATCACCTCCGAAAAGGGTGGTTTTGGAAACCTCTCGTCGAGGGCTTTCCGGAGAGCTGACTGTGTTCTCACCCTTCTAGTTGTGGAGAAATACGCTTAAGAAAAACGCCAACACGAGGGTGCGATAACGCGCACAATTACGGTAACTAGCTTAACTCGAGACCAGCGATTATGTCCAATCCCCTCTCCAGGAGCCAGCAACCCCTAGGCACAACCTTTAGTGCGAGAGCGAAAAGTCATTCCGTGTCGAAAGCAACCCGAACGCGGCGTTTCTATGATGATGATCAAGTAGGTCCCTCTCCCGTTTCACGTTTGCACTGTACTGTTTCACGTCTCGGCTGCTGTGTTTCTGACTGAGAAAACGTTAGCTACAGTGTTTTTGACTGAGAAAACGTTAGCTACAGTGTTTTTGACTGAGAAAATATAAGCTACAACTGTTCTGCATCGTTCTACTTCCAGCAAAGCGTGGCCGCAAGATTGTCAAATGCGGTCCAACGGCGAATGTTGTCACTTTTTTTCCTTTCTTTCGTTGGGCAAAATTGTAATGCAGCATTGATATGGATGGGTTAGAAGAAGAGGAGGAGGAGGAGGA